CACGTGACTCTGGATGAACAGCTGAGACGTGACGAGGCTCTGGGAGATCAGCTGTGACGTGACGAGGCTCTGGCAGATCAGCTGAGACTTGACTTGACTCAGGAAGATCAATTGTGACTTGACTTGACTCAGGAAGATCAATTGTGACTTGACTTGACTCAGGAAGATCAATTGTGACTTGACTTGACTCAGGAAGATCAATTGTGACTTGACTTGACTCAGGAAGATCAATTGTGACTTGACTTGACTCAGGAAGATCAATTGTGACTTGACTTGACTCAGGAAGATCAATTGTGACTTGACTTGACTCAGGAAGATCAATTGTGACTTGACTTGACTCAGGAAGATCAATTGTGACTTGACTTGACTCAGGAAGATCAATTGTGACTTGACTTGACTCAGGAAGATCAATTGTGACTTGACTTGACTCAGGAAGATCAATTGTGACTTGACTTGACTCAGGAAGATCAATTGTGACTTGACTTGACTCAGGAAGATCAATTGTGACTTGACTTGACTCAGGAAGATCAATTGTGACTTGACTTGACTCAGGAAGATCAATTGTGACTTGACTTGACTCAGGAAGATCAATTGTGACTTGACTTGACTCAGGAAGATCAATTGTGACTTGACTTGACTCAGGAAGATCAGCTGTGACTTCACGTGACTCTGGATGAACAGCTGAGACGTGACGAGGCTCTGGGAGATCAGCTGTGACGTGATGAGGCTCTGGCAGATCAGCTGTGACTTGACTTGACTCATGACGATCAATTGTGATTAGACTTGACTCAGGAAGATCAGCTGTAAGTTGACTTGACTCAGGAAGATCAATTGTGACTTGACTCATGATGGGTAGCTGTGACATAAAGTGGCGCTGTTGTGTCCGCCATTTTGTGAGCGTGCTCTAGTGCGGCTGCCATTACACGAGTGAGTGCGGGGTTGCGTTCCTCCGCGACACCCACAGTGAACGTTGAACCAACAGTCAACAAAGCATAGTCCATAAACTGACTGAGAGTTAATCATGGACCTTCACAAATTAAATGTGATTTGAGCGGCTGATTAATGCCCTCACAAAAATAGTCTATGAGCACACAGTCCTGCAGATCAGTTAAACAAGCAAAGTTCAAATACTCTTGAATATAGTCCTCGAGCGATCTTGTGACCTGTTTGAGGGCTAATAACCATCTTGCAATGTCCATACCTGGCCAGTGTCCACTTGAAAAGCCACTGGATCCTTGTGAGGCCGAGTATTCTGTTACGGGGCGACAGAGACGTGAGAAGTGCGGATCCATTTGCATGCTTTTATTAAAAGGCGTGGTCATGAAAAAGGCATGGGTCGATACACAGCAAACAGTAATAGAAGAGGCAAGATGAAGAGTAATCCAAAGGCTAGCGTGGGTCTGAGATCGGCCAACAATGTCCAGAGAGGTAGGCAATAGAAGAATCCAAGACAGGCAGGAGATCAGG